TCGCACCAGACCCCCCCCTCTCCCGCCCCGACCCACCCTCTCACGAAAACACTGAAGCCACGCCCAGTTTATATTAAACAGTTTTTGTATTGCTTGCCCGAGCTCCACCCATTATACAAAATTAAAAGGCGCGCGCGCGCGCACACACACACACACACACACACACACAAGCACCCATACAAAGGCTGTCCCACATGGTATGGAAAGCTTTCAAAGTGTCACAGGTGCATTCAGAGGGCAGAGAAATGGACTATGTACGTGATACGTCTTTTTCCACTGAATTTCATTAGATTACTAAATAAGGAGTTCCCCCTCACAGCCCTCTCCAGCTACTTTAGAGCTATCATACTATCTATTCAACAAAGTCCTTGAACCAGGACTTGTCTAAGTTCTGTTTTTCAGGAAAGGGAGTAAGATAGGAGGGCCCTAATATCTTTTATTTATCCTGGGAGCCTTTCAGGGTTGCAGCCCATCTGCCTGTCTATTCATCTCTATATATGTATAAAGCTACAACTTTATTTAAATTTTTATTTACTACTATTATTTTAAAATTTGACTAGAAAGAGACAGAGAGAAAGTGAGAAAGCAAGCCTCCGGGTCTGGGACTTGAACTGTGGTTGACCATCTGAGAGTTCAGCTCTTTCATCATACCATCTGCCAACCCCAGTTCCTACTATTTTCTAATATTTCTTTTAGATTCATAGGATTTTGAGGATTATCTAGTACAACTCCCTTATTTCAAAAATGAAGAAACCGAGGCTCAGAGAGGCTGAGCAAAATTTTCAGGGTCACACAGTGAAATGGCAGCCTCAGACCTCTCGAATCCCAGTCCTTGCACTGCTACATGACAACCTAAGGCCTGTTCCCCTCCACCATATCCCCAGATTCCCAGGACCTGTAATCACAGGTAGGACATTTGGCATGAGCACATGTTGCACTTTTAAAATTGTCAAGAAGGATCTCTAGGATATTTCTTCTGAAGACTGCGAAGCATTTTTGTTTTGTTCTTTCACATTATTACTTTTTTTAAGTCTTAAAATATGGCACTGAGATTTTATTCCTCTCCCCCATGTCATGCTTCCCCTGGCTGATACTAGAGTTACGAATATGTGCATCTGTCTTCCCCACTCCAACAGGATGGAGGGCTGAGGGTGGGATTCTCTGAGCCGGGGAGACAGAATCTGACATCTGAGAGGTAGCTGCCTGAGGACCATCCATGGAAACTTCCCCAGCCCTTCCCTCTTAACTGTGTCCCCTCCTTCTCTTCTGGCCTCCTAGCTAACCACTGCTGACTGTATTCCAAGGGGTCTACTGAGTGTTTCCCTTTTCTCTCCCCTCTCCCCCACCTGGCCCAATTTACTTCTCATAAACATCACAGGTCCATGGACTCCCCCTGGAAGTCACAGGGGACCTTGCTTCCTGGGAAACATGCTGCAGAAACATCCCAAGTGCGTTAGTGAAAAGAGAAAGGGCAGAGCATGCCCCCTCAGTCTATCACTGAGCATGTAAACAATGCACTGGTGAGACTCCGGTCCCCATCCTGGAAGTGTGCACAGATGTCACCAGGAGCAATGGACAGACGCTGCTCCTGTCCTCCCCTGTAGGTCACAAAGCAGCCGGTTAGGGTGCAGGAGAGAGAACCCTGTCGGTACTGGTCACTTCGTGTGCATTCAGTATTTTGGGAGTCATCTCATTACATAACCATCCCCGAGGTCAACATCTGACTCCGAAGAGTCACTTTTATCAGATGGAGCATCCTCAGACCACAGGCACTCTGAAGAGGAAAAAGAGTCAGGTGGCTGCACTGCTTCCCCACTGGCTACCAGAAGGCTTGACTCTGTTTCATCAGGCTCCTCCAGGTGGACTATGTCTTCTGGAAGAGATGATAACTTCAGGGAGGCTTCTTCTGAGTCATCATCAGGGACTCTCATACACACAGAGTTTAAATCCACATTGAAGATAATTCTGTCCCCAGACCCCTCTGTGGATTTGCTTTCCTCCTCAGAAGTGGGGTCCTGAAGCGGACTTTCTCTCCTCTGATAGGGCCCACTTGTGCCTTCTGACTGCCAGGGGCCAGGCTCTGGTGTTGCAGGGCGGCTGGGGTCAGCTTCAGGCAGGTCAGGCTCTTCAGCATCCGGGTCTAGGAACTGAGACTCCACAGTGGTGACTGAGGCAGCAGACGCCTGGCTCAGAAGCCTGACCGTTAGTCCATGCGTGGTATAGCCACTGGGAATTGCTCTGGGGACTGTCTCATCATCGCTATCACTCTCATCATAATCGTAACCCCACACTTTCTTCTTTCTGGTGACGCAAATGACTTCCACCATATCCACTGCTTCTGGTTGTGGCAGCTTGGGAAATATCCAGGCTTGAAATTTATAGAAGTTCTTTAAAAAAGAAAAACAACAAAAAAGAGTCCATATCAGTTGCATTTTCTCTTTGAATTTTATATAATAAAACGTGAGAGACCTACTGCACGGTGATGTGGCTAGTGATGGCAACGACACAACAATGACAGTTAACGGTTATGCGGCTTACTGTCGGGCGCTACTCTTAGCGCTTGGCACAGAACTCACTTCGCCCTCACACTGCTCTACGAGGTAGCTTGCTAGTCTTAGCCCACTTGACAGATGAGAAAATATGACACAGAGAGGTTAAGAAACTTGCGTGAGGTTCCTGACTAAACAGTGGGCTTGAAACCAGCCTGCAGCAAGTCTAAGTTTGGACGCGCTCCCCTGACTTCCTCTCACTTCGCAGCTTCTCTCCTATCAGGGGAATTTCTTCATTCGGGCTTGATAGATTTCACTTCTTGATCGCCAATCAAGGGTGTCAAGGAACTGGGGGTAAGGAAAGACTCTAGGAAGCCCATCCCATTGAGCCTACTCCAGGGAAACCCGGATCTCCTTGTCTGGGGGTCCCTAGAGATAAAGATGACCCTTGAAGGGTCGAGGAAGGCAGGAGCAGGGTGAACAGAGCCTGTTCTATTGCAACGATGGGAGGAAAACACCTTCAGCCTGCCATGATGTGGGATGAGCTAACGAAAAATGAGGCAGGCTGAGTTTCACTCCACTGGAGGGTCCTGTCGTCAGATGGTCTACCATGGGACAATCATTGAGGAAGGTGACAAGATGTTTTTTCAGATCTAGGATCCTCACTGGCATTGTTCTCCTCTCTGCCATCTTGAGCCTGTCCAGGCTGTCCGGTTTGACAAACCTGCTATTCCCCTACATACCCCAGCCTTGGTGTGAAATTTTCTACTGGGTTGTTCAACGTTTTTCTTATTAATTTACAGAAGTTTTTGTGACCACCAGTTAGCATAATGGCTATGTTGCTGGACTCTCATGTAATCGACTGAGGTCCGTGTCCCAGACACGGTGGCTTAAAACTCACGCCAGGCGCGTGTGCGTGCGTGCCTAAGATCCCGAGAGGAGAATGGAGGAGAAGGGATTGCAACGTGGCCATCCCCCTGGGGGGTGATTTC